AGAGAGAGAGAGACAGAGAGAGGAAGAGATTGCTTGAATATGGCAATAGCTTTCTTGTTTCATATATTTTAGTTGCCCCCCTCACAGTCAATATTATGAGGATCCTGCAGCATTAAGCCTTTGTTCTCTGCTGTTACGTGTGTGTGTAGCTATTTGGGGAGATGGACGGATTTAAAGGCAACGCTTTGTCATATCACGTCAGCCCGGTGTGTTTGTGAATCAGCAGGACCGTTCAGCATTTGACCCACGGCTTTGCATCGGAGATTGTTCAGCGTCCTACAGACACTATCCCCTTTCCATGCCTCAGATGGTGCCATAATTCCAAAGGCTGGATCCTCTTACACATTTCTATCTATACTTCTAGTCTGTATACTGTGTATATTTAGGACACACAAATCACCTGCTGTAACAGTTCGCTATGGCAACACTGATCAATAATCTATGAAATTATGAACGGACCAAATATTATAACGGTCTGAGGAGAAATTTCAGGTATCTGAGTCATCACCTCCCCTCAGGATGATCGTCATTGCTCTTTACATATACCAAAGACCCTGCCAGCAGTCCCTAAACCCTGCTAATCCACACACAATCCATACCTCATCTACAATTACCTTTCACACGTCCTTATTACTTTATTGTATTTTATGTCTATTTCTTTGTTTTTCATTCAGCTCAACTCATCTCTGGCCTCTCAATTCCCCCGACAGCAGAGATGAAATTGCTGAACATGTATAGTCAAAGCAAACACAGTGATGGGCTTATTAAAGACACAGGGAGCGGAGAGGAGGAGCTCAAGTCTGGCTGCAGCTGCTGCATTGGCTGTGTGTTCAGCAGTGGGGAGGGGCAGAGAGAGGGAGAGAGAGAGAGTTGAGGGAGGAGGGCAGCACTCTTGTTGGGAGATAGGGAATGCCCGTTAGTTGCATCCGCCGATAATAGCACATCAGCCAGAGCAGTGCTATTGGGAGAGCAGCGCACAGGCAGTGCGGAGGACTGAGCTGCTGAGCACAGAACAGCACACTAGAGGAGATAGGCACACTCAGAGAGAGCGAGGGAAGAGAGAGCGCATCAGAGAGGAGAGGAGGACAGAGAAGGAGCAGAGCAGTGGAAAGAGGAGAGGAGAGTGAAGAGGAGGAGAAAAGTTACCAGGTCAGCAAAAGAACGTGGAAGTGGAGCAGCTGGGGCTCAAGCAGGGTCTCAGTCCCACCGGAGAAGCCCCGTGCAGCAATAGGCAGCAGGAGAGGAGAGTGATATTACATGAGGGGATAGAGGGAGAGCTGTAACTTCTTCCTGGAAAGGCAGTTCTGTCATCAGGGCAGGGTTATGCTCCTCACAGGACCCCTCTGCACAGCTACTTCAGGAGGATCGCTGCAAGACAGCAAGCAGAAGACACTTGAACCTGGCAGAGGTGTCTGAGCCGTGCAGTTTCTGATCCATCTGTGCACTGTGAAGTGGATGTGCTTGTGCTTCTCTAGGAGAGTGAAGTGGTGGAGCTTTGGAGGGCGAGTTGTTCTGTCCTGTCATCTCAGAGACTATGTTAGACTGTGCGTCAGGAAGTCCTTCATCAGCAGCTGCAGCCCTAGAGCATGGAGAAGTCCAGCAGTGAGGAGTCAGCCATTCACCGTAGCCCCTCAGTAGATAGCCGTGACTCAGATTTTGCCCAAGCCTCCACGTCTGGCCGCCCATTCGGTGGTCGGGGGTTTACCGCCGGTGCTTTCTACGGCTCCACTGGGTCGCGCAAAAACGCACAGCAGGGACAGGCTGGAGCGGCAGCTGATGCCAGCGCAGGGGACAAGTCCAACAACAAGCAGAGCTCACCCAAAGGCAGCAAATACGTGGTCTTTTACCTGGATCTATCCTTTGTGTTCCTTCTAGAATTCAAGAAGTGCAACATGGCAAGAGGCTGCCTCTGCTGCTTGAAGTATATGATGTTCATCTTCAATCTCATCTTCTGGGTAAGTGGCTGATTATTTTGTTGATGTTTTCGCTCCTCACACTTGTTCTCGTTCATTTAGTTGATGTGATGATAACCAATGAGAAGGCTCAGCGTGCGATAAGTTTCTCAAATGTTAATCAGGGAACATTTTGACAAAGTGATGGTTGTCAGTGCAATATTGCATTTCTAATTATTACATCAGGCTGTTTATGCCTGCTCCTCTCTGTGCATGTTGCTATTCCTGGATGTCATGACAGAGTCGATGGCTCTGCACCAGGTCCCCTTTTGTATGTGACTGTTTGGGATGGCAGGTGGGGGTCGGATTGTGCCGGTAAGGAGGGAGTGGGTTCCTTTGGGTCACACATTCACACGGTTGTGTGATTTACAGTGAGCATGAAGTTGAAATGCTGCTCTCGGTATGCAAGAGAAATAGAATATGTCTCTACAGGGCAGTTACATTGATGAGCAACACATTATACGTCACTGGCGATATGAGCTGAGGTGGTGAGCCAGTGGTTCTGGGGGAGCTGATGTGATTTGTGGGCTTCATTGAATTCTTTACTCTTGTTTGAAAAATGTCTCCCTGGGGTAAAATATGGACAGTGATATTAAATATTGTAGTAATCCTCCAGAATCACTCATTCTTTTTATTATCTGCATTTGATGATTGAAGTGATTGTATGTTGAGTGTGTAATTAAAATGGTTATTACAGTAATGAGATATAAAAAAACAAACGTTACAATGTTCTTCATGTCTTTCACCCACAGCCTCTGATTGTTGCCCATGCATGGGCATTTGTTGTCAAAGTGGGCATCCCTTGATATGTTTACAGAACAGATTAAAGGGCTTATGGGTTATGGGGCCAAGGCTTTTGTGTGGATGCAGCGAAGCGTGAAGCGTAAAAACATCCCATCACTGGGGTCTCCACCAACCACGGCCCACCATGTCCCTGGGTTGTGAGCCCTGCTAACTGGGGCACAAAGGAGGCAACAGAGTGGGCATTAGCCGGAGCCCAGCTGTGAACTGGCCTGTGTTTAAAATACACACACGTACACATGCACCACACAAAGCGAGATCTATCTCGTCGTCTGTCCTCCATGTATGAAAATGGACAGGCCTGCTAGTGGCCGACCCCACTCTAGAAAAAGGGAAGGGTCTCTGCTGCTTCAGGGCAAAATCTCCATGTCACCCTCAGATCATTATTCAGTCCACAGAGGCAGCAGAGTGATTGGCAAAGACACAGAAATGGCTCAGGGGCTCCTCTGTGTGTCTCCTCCTTCATGTGTTTATTTAAGGGAATGAAAGGGTGCGAGATGATGTTAGATTCATTAATGCAGACACTGACTTACCTTGATGTGAGCACCGCTTTTGAACTCAGTCAGTAAATGTAGAGTTCAATTACGCGCTCAAGCTCTGACATCACTACTGTTTGAATTAGAGATGGAGTTTCCAAGGGGTTTTCCTTTATTGGCCAAATGATGATCGATAAACATTTTTTTCAGTTTTTAAAACATGCACGATTTCCCTTATTGAAAAAAAATTCAAAAATAGGCTTTTTTTAAAAGCAAAAGAAGCCAAACAGTCCGCAAAATAAATGAGCTCTAATTATTCAACTTACCTGTGTGTCAGTTCTAGCCGGCTTGGCTCATTTTACAGATCAGAAGCAGTCAGTGCACTGCTAAGGATCCACCTTTGAAAGAAGTCACAAGGTCATTATCTGCTTCTTCTTCTTCTTGAGGGTCGGTCACAGAGGATTTACGTCGAGGCTTTTACTTCCCAGTTTCTTTCCAGGCTCAATTTGTGTTTAACCCTTTTCAGTGGCAAAACCCTGACACTAATAACCGGCTGCTGCACACCACTAATAAGGAGGTGGAAAGAGGCTTTGGATTTCAAGGCTGGTGGCCCCTGCTKCATGTGGAGTCAAGCCTGTTTGCCTCCATGGAAGTGTAATGAAACAATCCCTGAGAGAGCGCCACAGCTCCCCCTTCAGTGATGACTCGTAGAGACCTTAAGTGGCTGTGGACTTCCCCCAGTGTGGCGCATTTCATGCTGTGCAATAATTAAATTTTGACTCTGGTAATGTTCCCTTAATGAACACCCACCATGCATATTCCCTCTTTTTCCTGCAGATTTTTTCTCTTGTTTTCCTTCCAGCACAAGATCAAATTAATAACAGTTTAATCAGTATCCCGTGGGAAGAGAGTGGGTTGATGTGTGGGTATTCATGCAGTGTGTGGCTGGTGGGTCTTAGTCCATCAGAATGTGACAACTCCAGGCTCTTTGGCATCTGTCTGACCGGCATGCTGGATTGTGGCTCTGCAGTGCGCCCAGTTTGAAGGTGAGGGCTGGGAATAAAGGATTCGCCCCTCTGTGAGGGGTCGGGGACAGTGTGTATGAGCAAGACAGAGATAGGAAGGGTGAGAGGGAAGCTGTATCTTGACACCCCTGGGATTGCAGTGCTCGCCTCTCATGCTCCAGGAATCACAAGGTTACTGCAGCTGGTCGGGAGGTTTGCCTCTGAACGTCTGACATCTCATCCCGAGACTGAAGGGGGGGATGGTGCGCTGCTCTAACACCAGGTACAGCAGGGGTCTCTTCTTTCACTCACTACCCACACACCCTGCGCTTCCCAATGGTAACTTGAGGCACAAGGTAAACAGCGGCAGGCATTCAAGGCATCTCCATACATGCGCTCATCCTTGGGCCCCCCCAGCAGTTGTTCATGACCATCTGGCTCCTCTTTCTTATAAGGGATTAGAAAAATCTGAGCCACAGGGGGAGTTTCAGCCAGATTACAGCAGTATAGGGTGGCGCTGCTAAGGATTGAGAGCGCAGCTCCTTCGGTCGACTCCACACTAAAGCCAACAGTCGTCACAGAAAATGGCGTTTGTGCTGTGACGGTGGGATTCTAAGTGTGTGGTTTCTTAGGGGGGGGCTTCACAAACATCGAGGGACTGTTTGACCGGGCTGATAGGGTGATTGATGTTAAGCCCCATTGGTGTCAGCCTTGTGAGCATATCAGTATTGGTGTTCCTGGGATTTCAGCCTCTTACTCTGCAGTGCATCCTCTACTCGCAGCCTCCTCTGTTCATCTCTTCCATTCAAGATTCAATTTGTTGCCCACCGCTGTTACGTATTTATCTTGTCAGTGAGACCGGGCACCTTTTGAAAAGTAAAAAGATCAAGCAACATCACACACAAGCTCGTTTTCATCGTTTGAGATAGGTTGTGCCATAGCCATCCCAGCTGTGTCATTATCATGCCTTATTAAAAGCCTTATTTTATATTCTTATTTAAAAGAAACGTGTTGTCTCAGCTGTCTTATCCTACAAGTACAACAGGGGTGGTGGAATCAGAGCCACTCCTTTTGTTAGAGGAGAGAAAACCTCAAATGTCTTTAGCCTTTCTGAAATCTTGTGCTTACGTTGGGGATTGCTGCAGGACTTATGAACGATTTGGTCCAAAGCAACAGAAGATTAGTTTTCTTATTGATTAAATCACTGAAATTGTGAGGAGTGTTAGTGTGTGAGTGTGTGTGTATGTGTATGTGTGTGAGAGTGAGTGAAGGTGAACGTCTGTGTCTGGTTGAATGAAATACCATAAAGCATTTCACACAGGCTGTCCCTTTCCCTCCGGGGGATTTCAATCAAAGGTGCCAGAGCAATTTGCCTGTTTCTCATTCTCTGGATCGGCACGTGAAAAGTTCAGTCATTATTTATGGTTCAATGTGCATTATAACAAACTTTCTATAACAAAAGAGGCACAGCTGAACTCCATCAGTCACTGCCAGGTGAAACAAGGTTTGGGGGCGCCGGAAAACAGATGAGGGTTGAGCGCGGTCGGCGAGATGATGAAACAAGCTGTGTATGCCGAGCAGTCACGTGCATTTAATTCCATCAATTCACCATGAGAAGCTTGCTCTTGAATTGGCTTTGAGTTTGACGTGGCAAAATGTAGCATCAACCTGAGCCAGGCTGTCCGTCTAAATATTACACCTCCAGCTATGATGGCTCATAGGCATTCAATAGATTGAATCAATACGAGGGCCTGCATCGGTTGACCTCAGCCGGTCAATACCACCAATCCTAGATTATATGTCTTATGTAAGTCATCCATATCTATAGAAAACAAACATAGAATAATATGCTTTCATTTAATCAAATACTCAGCGTCTTCCCTGAGAGCTGGTCTCATAACTTTCCTGCAACATTAAGATGAAGAACCTCATTATATTTATATGCATTTGAATTATTTGAAGTCTTGTAATTAGCTTCCCCTATAGAGTGCTGGGACTTGATTCAGATCGGCCGACCTGCTCGGTAAACTATCTTCATATGTCCGGCTTTGTCCGGAGCATTGTCTCGGGAGATCTCCATAATTTACTCACCACTCCTCGGCCGATTCGATTTCCCGGCTGTGTTGTGCAGCATCTCTCAGGTCATTAGCTCATGTTGCAGATCAACTAGAATACAGAGTTGCTATGTTTCACTCTAGTGGGTTGAGGTTATAAGGCATTAGAAATAAAGATGTGTTTTTTTTTAATTTATTTTTTTGCTAGGATGATGTTGGCAGGTGGTGCTTTTGCAGGGATATTAATTCTCCCACCCCATCGTTCATCTCCTTTTGAATTGGATGGGGCCTTGGACTTGATGAGTCGTTGTTTTTGTTTGTTGATTTTGTAAAAGGGTGATTATGACACACACGAGGAGCAGAAAACTGCAGCGTTTTAGTTTCTGAGTTAATAACTCAGGCAAAGATTAAATAACCTCCCTCACAAAATAACCATACTATCCTTAAGTTATTGCCACTCACACAGTGTGTACTCCTCCGGGCAATTTAGAAGTATAGTTTAAAGTTTACTGCGCTGCAAAAGGCGACAGGGCAGCAGGTACAGTTTTTCCCAGATGCTACATTGTCGGCTCTGTGGCTCTGACACATAAAGACAGTCACCTTGGGAACAAATGAAAAAATAAGAGCCTGTAGCTCCAGGAATCACAGTATATCATAGACGATAGAAT